CCTTGTTGCTAATGGCTCATCAACATCATCTTCGTTCCACGCTTTACTCTGCTCCAAACACTGGCCGTTGTCCTTTTTTATTTTTATTTATGTTTTCTTTTTCTTCTTGTTCTCTTCATTTTGCTCGTTCCTCTCCTCGTTGTTCTCAGTTACCTCACTCGGACTGCTCCGGGGGCAGGAGGAGAGCCGAGACCAGCCTTCGTTTATTTAAATCTCCATAGATTCCTGTGTGTCTCTCGCATTTATACACACTGTAAATAAATTGATGCTACTCACTTGCCACGACACACACACACACACTGACACCAAATTTAGAAACGCAAAATAAGTTAAGTGTGGTGTTGAGGATGAGAGAGGAGTATAAGTGCGTTTCGATCGTAACTGGATCGCCTTTGTCGTCCATCCTGCTGCCCGGGAAGCCCTTTGGCCACGCCCAGTTCATTTTTTTTTTCACTTCTTCCTCGGCAACTTCTTTTTCCCTGCGGTTCATTAAACTTTCCCTCCGCGTAGTCCTTCGACGGCGAGGAAGGATCCTCGGCAAATTGCTTATTTTTAGCCGCAATAATGGAAATAGAGAATAGTCACAGTCCATGGTGAGGTGTCGTTCCGTTAAGTAAATGGTATGAAATTTTCTTCTTACAACAAATGCAAAAAAATAAATAAAAAGTAAAATAAATAATAATAATAATCATAGACACAAATAAGTAAGATAAGTAACCTGTATGCATGGCTCGAAAGGCCCCGCCCACTTGCTATGATTTTTCTCCATCGCGTTTTTCCGCAGTTCGTTAAACTTTCACTTGCTGTCGCAACAGCAACGGCTATTTTGCAAACTCCCATGCAGCGAAATTCAATTTCCAATCAAAATGCAATATACATATCCATATTTTACTTATTACTTTTTTTCACTCGAGAAGAGTTTCTTCTCATTTCTTCTCGCCTGACGTTTCGGGTTCATTGACTCCGCCTACATTTTTCAGTTCATCCAATTTACGCTAGGTGACTTGCGGTTGCAATGATTATAATTCGTCTCCTGTTTACGTCCACGTAATATACATCATATATTATACTCTTACTCGATTAGTATTATCAGTTTTTTGTTTGTTCATATTTTTTTTGTCGTTTGCATGATTGTGTTTTGAAAGGTGGCCGATAATCGGTCTCAGCAACGATTCAATGAATGTTTTAAAATTGGCCTGGTCGCGAATTGCCGTTGCGCGAGGAGAGGAGAGTATAGTAGTCGGTCGTTTGTGCGGGGTACGGCGGGGGCGGCGGCGGTAAGTGTGGCAACCTTTTGTCCGGTGCGACGACGCAATGGCGGGCGGCGATTGGTCGACAGCCCCGCGACGCTGTTGCAATTTTCGTTCACATCGGAAGCACCAAAAAAATGTACAAATTTATGTTACAAAAAAAAATAATTATTGCAAAAAAAATCGCGAGATTTGAATCGCAAATCGCGGGAATGGAAAATGTCGTCTATTTCCTCCTATTCCTCCTCTGTGATATCGTCTCTCACTGTCGCGGTGTGTCTGAACACATTCAGCGACGTAATAATAAAACGGTTTTATTCTCCAAACGGATAATTTGTGCTTGATCACCGTTTTATTTGCATTGTTCCGAGGTCATATGGGTCATATACAGTGCGGACACGCTTGCTTTTTTCTTCTCTCTCTTTCGCACTATCTATCTCGCACTCTCGTTCGCACACGCTCTTTCTCTCCTAATTCGTTCCAAATGGAATTCTTGCGTCGATGTGTTCGTTGGTAGTTGTAGTCGTAATTCGTTATGCAACTTTTCGTGTGCGCCGGGCCCGACGAAAACAAGATTTCTTTTCCACGATCCACGAAGATAAGATTTCCTCTGTTTTTAGTAAGCTAATCTTATCTTTTTTATTTGCTAGGTTCCCTCCGCCTAGGTTCTCTTCATCTTTAAGAATATTCCGGAACAAAAATCGGAGTATTTTCAAATATGAATGTTATCATTCTAGAATATTCCTATAGCAAAACATTCTTATACTAGATTATTCTCAATTGTGATTCGGTTAGCGTTCTTCATGGAATTTCGTATACTGGATATTCTTCTTATCTTGCGCATGTAACATATTGAATTACTAATGTGTGTTGTCGTATACGTGTAGACTTTTCGTTAATATTTGATAGTTCGAGTTTTTAGTCCAAGGCTTTTCTATGGAATTCGTATTAATTTCTATTTTTTTTATTGTTGCTGTGCTGTACTAATCGCAATTGATAACCAAATCGATTCAACAGTGAAAGCAATTCCAAATCACGTTTAATATCAACAATGAAACTGTTTTAAGTGTTTGATTGTCTATTCTAAACACTTCAATTTTCATAAGAAAATTTTAACCATATTGGAACTAATTTTAAGACAAAACATAGAATTATATGAAATAATATTAAATTTCCATTATGAGCAAATAAAAAATAATAATTCTGACAAATGACAGATGAAACGTCAAAAACTAAAATTATGACATTTGTCAGAATGCTTATTATGTAACTTTTCAAATTTCTGGTACTATTGTATAGATTATCAAAAATAATTTAAATTAGGTTATAATTTTGTTAACATAACCTAATTATCTTGGTTCTGCCTATATTCAAACAAAAGTTCATTCATTTATTGTTACTTAACTATAAATAACTCAGAAGTAAATTATATGATACAAGGATTTTATTTGCATTCACTTAGAATTTATCACGATCACGTTTAGATCGTTTACGTTTCATTATTTGAAGTAAATCTTTTATTAAACGAAAATGCTATTTGTAGCAACTCTGTACAAATAGAACGGAATATAACAGAACAGTTTTGTTCAATACATACACCTAAGAACTTGGTCTATCGACTATAGATACTAAACAAATATAAGTTTTTAATTTAGTGCAAATTGTGGAAGCATCGTAGATGTTTAAAGCTATATTTACATATTATCATTTTTTTACGCGATACGTCAGAATCGCTTTATTTTCGAAGCGCATTTACATATTCGTATTTATACGAAACCTAATTGACACATACAATACAAGAAAAAATAACTTTAATCTGTGACTTATTAGAAACTCATTTTATTACTATATAGTATAAATTATTTATGTAAAGGTCTATTTTAACTAATTATAATAAATTATTAAATATTAATAAAATAAATGCATCATCTATATTACATTTTTATCTGCTATGGATTGCAATTGTAAATTTTTAGTGATGAAACATCAATAATTTTACTTGTCAACTTCATAAATATTATATTTTATAATCTGTCAGTATTTACCATATAGTATGTTATTATTTTATAACCACATTCATCAAAAGAATAAAATATAAGAAACTTTTGAAACATTTATTATACTATTACAAAGTAATGATAAAATCGAATGATAATTGATTTGATAATTCAATTGCTTTAGTTTAACATTAAAATTATTTTTCATTCATAATAAATATTTAGAATATAACTATATATATATTAGAATTTGTAAATGATTTAATATGAAACTTCATGATAAAGTACAAAACTAAACTTTGATAATATGTTTATGGATTGTATTAGGAACTGTGAAAATCTCAATCGGATTACGATTTTCATTTGGTAAATGTGTACGCAATAGCAATCACCATCAAGTTCATTTATTGGTTAATAGTTGAATCCACCATTGGCTTCCGGCGCCGATCGATGTCATAGCTGTCAATTATCGTAAAACTTGACGCGTACCGAACGTTGCGCAACTTTCGATTCCAGGCAAGGCAAGTCCGCGAATCTCTCCGACCAACATCGCCGAACCTGATTACAACAAACGGTCTGCGCTCGAGCTATGCTTGCAACATGGAATTCGCCTTTTTAATACGTCAAAATCGGTTTATTTTCGAGGCGTATTTACGTGGAACACACTTCGAAAATAAATTTGTGAGTAATGCAGAAAATCACAGGCGTTACTGCAAGGCAAACACATTTTATTCGGATTCGGCACTATCCGAATTCGATTTTCTGGGATGACTCGTCTCCCTTTTCATGGCTTCACATTCTCCTTATTGAACGCATCATCATCATCGCACCGAGGTTGCGCGCCGTTCATGATTCCAACGTCATCCTGTAGTATTTTTTTCGGGCGATCGGTGCGATGTTGATGATAATAATGTAATTTGAAGGTCGTCCGTTTTTCATTATGATTATTGTTACTGCTTCTCTCTTAGTTTTTTTTATTCGTTCGCCTCGCGTCCAAAATGCCAAGCTAAATATTTATTTTATTATAAATCCGCGCAGGTCGTGACGTCCGAAATTGCGACAAATTTAAAACAAATGTGTAAGGAGCAGAAGAATACAAAACGGAGAACGAACGAACTGCGAAAAAAAAAATCTGCGGAATTTCGAAACCGTGTCAGTGGGGTAAAGTAGGCCTTAATTGCCTCAGTTCGATTCATATACGTCTATGATATGTATGTAATTTATTTATATAAAAATAATCGTTTTGTGCGTGAAATATTTCTCTTTATTATTATATAAATATATATTTTTTTTATCTATGTTAGATAATAGTTTGTTGGCCTTTGATTATGCATTAACATTGTACGTATACGTGAAAAATTCTTCTCCAGTGTATTTTCGGTCCTCTCCATTTTTTTTTACACACACGCTTTTTCCGTTCCGTTTCGTATTTAATCGATGATATATTCATTTCATTGTTGGGAGAGGTTCGTAAGGCGAGGTTGTATTTATAGTTTCAAGGTTGAATTAGAGCAACAGCTAATTATTGTTGTCGGTCCCGATCGATACACATTTTCTAAAAGCGAACGATTACAAAAAAAAATACGACGAAAGCGCAAACGACTACCAGGAAAAAGGTTTTCTCCATTAAGTCTTACTCTTTTGCAATTCGTAACAAGTGCATGCATTATTATTAACGTTCGAGTTCAATCGATCGGTCGATCGGAAATTTTCACCTATTCATGTTACTATTTTTTTTTCTCCTCTGTTCCAGATGTCAGCTGGTTCCCAATTACAGATGGCACCCCAGTCGACAGTAAACACAACCCAACCCGTTCATAGCCAAGACTCCAATATGAGTACAGGTAACTTGATTTTATTGATTCGTATTCGCTCTGCCGTATTCCTTCCTTCCACGGCTCTCTCGCCATTTTCGAGAACTAGCCACCACCTCGCGTTTTACAAGACGAAGAGAAAGACGGAGACGGAAAATGCGAAGAGAACAACAATCTTCGGCCATTTTGCGGCATGCACCGACGAAATTTGCAGGCGATTGCGAAATGGCGGATCGACAGTTGTCTTCTACTCTTTTTTTTTCTTCATATTTTTTGTCGTTTCACCAATATTCATTCATTCCTTGTTCAAATGATGAACATTCGCGACGACATTTTTTTTTTGGAACACAGTTTCTGATACGCTTTTTCGACCTGACGCAATTTTGCTTTCTTTTTTTATGTTATTATTATTGAAATCTATTATTAGTGCGAGCGATTCGTTTCGAAACAATGCCTAATGTGCGCGGATAGATGATGTTTTCGCCACGTCAGCAACCTGATTTTTATTCAACTTGCGTAAAATCGTTATCCGGTTTCAATTCGGTCGCCTCCTTGGAAATTCTCCCTACCAGTTTATCGCTTAGATCAAAACAGTTTAATCATCTCATACGGCAAGATAAGCTAACTTAATTGTATACATAATTAATACAGATAATGAAAAATTAAATCGATTTGTCAATAATTAAAAGTCATAAATTATTGATTTATAATTATTTGTATTTCATCCATTAAATAATGTCCATGAACTTGTTACAGTTAAAACTGAAGTTGAAACATTTACCTCGCTGTCAAATACTTACAATTTTGTCGGGTCAAAATTAGTTCGTTTTTGTAAGTTTATTAATAAATCAGTTTTTAATAACTGATATATTAAAGTTGTTGATGAATATAAATTATTTAAATTCATCGTTTCATAATTATGTTTAAAATAAAAAAGGAAAGGAATAATTAATTTTGATTGAAATACAATTAAAAAGAATACAATGAAAATATATTTAAATATATCTACATAAATAAGGAATTTCAAATCAGTAAAGTCTAATGTTAATTTGATATAATTTTTCAATAGTTTATATATATAACTTTTTTAAGTGTTATGAAAGGTTTAAAATTAAATTTATTTGCTTATAATTATAATATAAACAAACTAAATATGTAAATTTGTTAAAGTTATATTTTAAATATAGAAGCTATCAATAAGTGTCAACGAAACGTCTAAACTCAAATTATATGAATTTTCATACAATTAATTTCGCAATAAAAAAATATTCAGTTGATATGTCAACAAATTTATTGATTGACTAAATTCACAAATTGCTTCTGACAAATGTAACGATTAACAAAAGTACATAGATTTCAAATGAAATATAATGACAACCATTATTATTGAAATGTCATCATTCAACCTAATTTGTTTACAGTTTATATAATTTGATAGGTTACATTGTGTGCATTATATATGATATTTTTTAGTCAAGTTATTCGTTTTGATAATTAAAATATGAATGCATTAAATTTGTGTTTATTTTTAATATATATAAGTTATATGATTCAAGTTAGTATAAAAAAGTAATGTAATTGTCGGATTTACATTTAATAATTATGAAAGTTCATTCTATACAGTGATTTAGAGTTGCTGTTATAATTGTCGCATAGAATATTTGATATTTATAAAGGCTAAATAAATTATTATAAAGGGTAGATAAAATTATCAAATCTGCACAAAGTTTCCACTTTATGCGATTACCAACAAACTGGATTCGTATTACAATAATTATGGTTTTTCGATATTCAAAAAGAAAAGCTTTCCATCAGTATATGTTTATTTGTTCTTTGGTACAAATATTTGTTTGTCATTCGATTCCAATTTTTCATATTTATCCGTTATTCAACTAATAATTACATCGGCCAACGGGGAGATAAGATTCGAATTTATTTTTTTTATTACTGTTATAACTATATCTCTCACTCTCACCCATTGCAAATGAACCATTGAAAAATCACGTTACGAAATTGTTTTTGTCGATCTTAGTGGATTCTGACCGGTCAATTAAATGGATCTTAATACAAATTTTGTCGCAATTAATGGAAATCATTAAATATACATTAAAATTAAAACATTTTATAGTCATTTTGGAGTAAATGCCCATATTTTAATAAACATGTATAAAAATGAAATAAAGAGTATAGCGATTAATGTTTGAAGCCAATTAGATTATAATAGGAAATTAACTAATATATTATAATTAACAATTAGTTTTAATATTATCAAGTTGTTACTCGTTTATGAAGATTGCCACGTCAGCGTTTACAGTATTTTCATGTTTGAACTATTTAATGATACATCATGACAAGATTGTATTAAGTATTATTTTGCAACAAAATTGTACATGTTTCTGTGTATTGCCATGGTAATCATAATAACTATAATACTGTATTCATTTAATGTGCTATTCGATTGAATCATTTATTTGGAATGAGACTATTTCCTATACGTTGAATTTGTTAATGGGTGTGTTACATAGTTTTATTGGAATTATAGTGATTTTGTATTTGTAGGAAACGTATGTAATTGTTTATGGTTTTTGTTGTAGGTTCCTCTCACAGTGATAAAGAGCTGGACCCTAATACTCCGGAGAAGGTGCCCAGGACGCCTACCGAAAGGAAGCGCAAAAGGAAGGTTGACGATGGCGGCGGGGGAACGATCACGAAGGGCGTTAGGACCAATTCGACCGAGAAAAAGGCCGTGGACTACTTTAATACCAAACACACAAGTAATAGCCCTATCAGACATGGAGGCGCCAAAAGTCCCTCGCCACAGCAAACCCCCTATCCAATGGTGAGTGAAGAGTTAACCTGCTTGTGTCCGTATGTGTATCTAACATTTTTATTATATTTTTCAGTTCCCACCGTCGCAGCAGCAACTACCTTCGCCGCAGGTGTCGGCCAACTCTGTTCCTTTCGAATTCTACCAAAAGCCACTAACCCCTAGAGTTCCATTACCCGCTATGGTTAGCAAATTAGTACAGGTATTTATAATTTAATTATCTATTTTGATGTAGATTAATAATATTATTATTGTTTTTTCGCCCTGTTGGTGGTCCAGACTGATTTGACGTGTCAAAGGATACAGGAATTTGAGACGCAAGCTTCTACGGATCTGGAAGTGCGAAACGTTAAGATCGAGGAGCTGAACAGGTCAAATGACGAACTGCGGCACCAACTGACGGCACAACAGAAGACGATGGATCAGCATAAGCAGCATATTGCCAAGTGTATAGATGTGGTGAAGAAGCTGCTAAAGGAGAAGAGCTCGATCGAGAAGAAGGAGGCGCGACAAAAATGCATGCAAAATCGGTTGCGGCTTGGACAATTCGTGACGCAACGAGTAGGAGCGACGTTCCAGGAGAACTGGACGGACGGACACGCTTTCCAAGAGCTGGCGCGAAGACAGGAAGAGATTACGGCGGAGCGGGAAGAGATTGACAGGCAGAAGAAGCTGCTGACCAAGAAGAGGCCGTCGAACAGTGAGGGCGGCAGGAAGCGGAACAACTCGTCGGCATCCTCCACCCTACACAACGGCACGGATAACACGTTCCTGAAGCCGGACGCGGTGCCCGGATCCTTCACCATCCAGGAGTACTACGAGGCGGACGAGATCCTGAAGCTGAGGCAGAGCGCCCTCAAAAAGGAGGACGCCGACCTGCAGCTCGAGATGGAGAAATTGGAGCGCGAACGCAACCTGCACATACGCGAACTGAAGCGGATCCACAACGAAGACCAGTCCCGGTTCAACAACCATCCCGTTCTCAACGAGCGGTACCTCCTTCTCATGCTCCTAGGCAAGGGCGGTTTTAGCGAAGTTCATAAAGCCTTCGACCTTAAGGAACAAAGGTACGTCGCCTGCAAAGTGCACCAACTCAACAAAGACTGGAAAGAGGATAAGAAGGCCAACTATATTAAGTAAGTACCACCATTAATCATCCAAAAATCAAAACTTACTAAATACTATTGTCATTCTTTCAGGCACGCTTTGAGGGAATACAATATTCACAAGGCATTAGACCATCCGAGGGTGGTCAAACTTTACGACGTCTTCGAAATAGACGCCAACTCATTTTGTACAGTTTTGGAATACTGTGATGGACACGACTTAGACTTTTATCTTAAGCAGGTAAATATTAAAACCATTCTCGCAAAATTCAATGCATTTACATTTTATATCACACAGTACCAGTATATTCAACTCAGATATAATAGATACATTCTACCAAGATAAATATTGCAAATACTTAAATTATTTGTAACAAATTGTGGAATAATCAGAAAGTTACTAGAAAGTTATATATATGATAATGATAATATTATTTATCTGAGCTATTTGTACCCAATTTCTATCATTGTGCTTTTGTTAGAAATCTTAAATCTTGTACTTTAAGTAATTGAGAATTTGCAAAGATTAATAGGCCGTTTTCTAGTAAAATAATTTTGCAAGTAATTAAATACAATTCGTTGAATAATGTATGATGTGAAAATATTTTAAATATTAATCATTCTTTTTTGCAGCATAAAACTATACCAGAGCGGGAGGCACGTTCAATAGTGATGCAAGTGGTGTCCGCCCTTAAGTACCTGAATGAGATCAAGCCGCCTGTGATCCACTACGACTTGAAGCCCGGAAACATCCTACTGACTGAGGGCAACGTATGTGGAGAGATCAAGATCACGGACTTTGGTTTAAGCAAGGTAATGGACGAGGAGAACTACAATCCCGATCACGGTATGGATTTGACGTCACAAGGAGCCGGTACCTACTGGTAAGTAACTGAAACGCTCTTCTTCGCAGAACCGAATAATAATTTCGTTTTTTCTTTGCACGTCCTTAGGTATCTGCCGCCCGAGTGTTTTGTGGTCGGGAAAAATCCTCCGAAGATATCATCAAAAGTGGACGTGTGGAGTGTGGGCGTGATCTTCTACCAATGTCTGTACGGCAAAAAGCCATTCGGCCACAACCAATCGCAGGCAACCATCCTAGAGGAGAACACGATTCTGAAAGCAACCGAGGTTCAATTCGTCAACAAGCCAGCTGTGACCAATGAGGCCAAGGTAAATACATCTAGATATACTTCATCCTCGTACACCGTAATCATATTTTTGTGCGTTTCTCGTGTTCGCAGAGTTTTATCCGAAGTTGCTTGGCGTATCGGAAGGAAGACCGCATAGATGTCCTGTCGTTGGCAAGGCACGAATACCTCCAACCGCCTATGCCCAAACACTCCAGGCTAACCTCCAGCGTGGCACAGCAACAACAGGTCCAGCAGCAGGCGGCGGTCCAGCACAATTCCCAGCATTCATCCCAGCAACAGAATCCTGGTTCATTCTCGACCGGTCTCTTCGGCACGATGAACGCTTCCTCGTCGTCTTAGTGTGCGCTGAAAAGTGGCGGTGCTCCGATGTGCGCGAACCGGAAACGGAAACGGACGTCACATGCGCGTTTCTGAACGGAGGACGCTACTAAACACACGAACAACTTGAAAACTGAAAGTAATAGAACAAGAAACAAACAATAATTGTGATCGTGCGCGCGCCACTCGGCAAACAAACAAACAACAACAAACTTTTATTTTATTTTTTTCGAAAAGCAAAATGGTTTAAACAAATGGATTTAAATTACTCTCTCTCTCTATAATCTAAACACACACACAACACACAAATACATGAAAACATATACAAACAATACAAAAAATGAAACATCGTCGTCATTTTATAAAAAAAATCTCTTATCTCTCGTCGCTTGCTGCTTTTTCTCTCCTCCTTAACTCGGGGTTTTGTGCTACGAACTGGTTGTGATCAACTGAATTAAAAAAATGAAAATACTACTACTAAAAAAAAATTATACACCGTTTAAAAACGTAAAGAAAATGATTACTGAGAATGAACATACACAGAACAGTTTTTTTTAGTAAGGACAGGAAAAATTACAAATAATTAAACAAATGATTAAAATAAAAGAACTTTATTAAGTTTCATATATATGAGAAATATATATATGTATATATAAGTGCATATATATTGATGATGATAAAAAAATATATATATAATTAATTATATAGACAATTAATAAGTTATTTTTTATTAAGTGCCCTTGCTTTTTGTACTATATTAGTGACTATTACTATTCTGGATTTTTTTCTTTCTTTTTTTTTAAATAAGTTTTTTTTCTTTTTCTGTTTATACCTTTTGTTTTTTTTTATGAATTTACTATTATTCTTCTCCGATGAGCACACACGTAACAAGTGAATATCCCCACCGACCCCATTCACCCTGAGAAAAAAAAGACTCCAGATTTTTTTTTTGGTTGAAGAACGAAGAAGACGAAGTATTGTTGGCTACTTGTGTAAATCGAAACAGTTGTTTCCTCTTTATTTATATACATTTTGTATATGTAAATACTAGACAAAATCAACTAAAACGTATGGAATGCATTTTTTTCTTTTTAATTTTTAATATTTTAATTTATTTTACTACCTGTAAATTTAGAATGTATAAAAGGAAAAATCTAATAAATCAAGGAAACCCATGTATATGATATAACAATAAACAAAAAACGCACGTTTGTTTTCTATTTGGGGAGTTTCTTCTTTTTAATGTTGTTATTACGAGGCGACGACCTCAAACTTCTAATCTAAATTTTCAAACAGTAAAAACTGTTTTAGCATTTGCGGAAATTGCATTTCGTATGAATTGTGGATGCGCCGGGTCAATTATTTCTATTAGATTTTTTAAAATATATAATAAAGATTATCCCGAAAGGCTACAATTTTTATGTTTGTGTGAAGGAATAATCAAAAGAAAACACATTAGGGCTACTAATTTGTAGTATATTATTGCAAATTGCTCCAATTATACAAGTCACAATGCAAGTGGTCAACAAACCCTCGTTCTTGTTACTCATCAATTTTGTTTTTTTTTTTTCAGTTTTATTATATTTTCACATTTTAATTACTTTTGTACATAAATCTTTTTAACTTCCGAATACTTGCAACTAGTGTATTTGTTTGATTCTTAAACGGTCCAAATTTATTTACACAATTTTCGTTATTATTATTTTGTTCTTTTTAAATTGCATACTTTGCAAGTGGTGTTCAACGTAGATATGGTGAACTAAATAAAATATTTAAATTAAAGAAACCAAAAAAAAAAGAAGAATGTGAAAATATTTGTAAAAATTGTAATTGTAAATGATCGAAGAAATGATATATACAGCGTGATGGAAACAGGATGCAAATGAAGGAAATGCTGCAGTGATGTATAAAAAGTTGGAGTGCGATGCCAAAAATTACGAAGGAGAAATTGTAACTGTGAAGAAGAAAATAACGTTTTCTGGTTAAGATAGAAAAGAAAAAACAACTCGCATTATTTAACAAACCAAAATAATTTAAATGAATAAATAAACGCGTAAAAATACATGTTACATATATTTATATTATTGAATTAAAACGAGCAAAAAAAAAGATTAAATTTAAACAAGAAAAACAAACAAATTAATAAAAAAAATGAAGGCAGTTGAAGAAGATGAGAACTTGTGTGCTGTTTGTGTTGGTGGGTCGTCTCCGTCTCTCAACCGCAGACATTGTGATAAGAATAGTTAAGTCATGTCTAGGGAAGTTGTTTTTTCCGTTCAATATTATTTCCATGCAGATTTTGAAATGTAACGTTTATTATTTTTTTGTTGTTATATTTCATTAATATTATTATTGTTGTCATCAATTTTATTGTATTTTCTTTCACTGCTCTTGTACATTTCTCGTATTTTTCTTTCTTTTATTATTTTATGAAAAACGGACATAAAAAAAAATGAACAGGAAGAAGAAAAACTAAGTAAGGAAAAAAAAAGATAAGAAAAGTCGATCCACATTTATTATTATTTTTTTATTTTTTACTATTGGTGAAAATGTCTTTTGCCAAATTGTACATAAACTGGCGTGTATTAAATTACACAGAGTAAAATGTTTTTGAAAGCCAACACCGTTTTTAATGAAACCGATCTTCTCTTCTCGATACTCTCCTTACCACAACCCCCACCCCCTTTCGCATGAATCAAGTGGAATCAACAATTTTCAATTTTTCGTTGTTCACGCAACATGAATTTCAGTGTGCAATATTTCTTTCAGAATTTCAGGTTCGAGAATAGTAAGTAGACTTTTATTCTTTCAGTTTTTGTTATCGGAATTGTTAACTAGAATGAACTTAGAATTAAATGTTATTGAAGTGTTATTAAACACCTATTTGCATTTTCTTCAAATACCGAAAAAGAAGTACAATAAGTACTTAGGACTTCTATAAAATTATTTTCTTTTCCTGATTGTTATTAAAATACAACAATGATGATTATATAAAAATTAAAATTCAAGTGGTTCATGCTACTGCAGAAAAACATTCATTGCTTTTTTTTCATTAAGTCAATATTGAGTTAACTTAATTTTATTGATGCATGAATTCATAAAGAAATGCATAATTAATTGTAATTATTTTCCTAATACTGTATCCAATCTTTTATTGATATTCTCGATCAATATTTAGTTCCTTCCTGCAAGTAGATAATTGTTGCCTATTTAACATAGTTTCTTTCAAATTATGAAAGATATAATACTTAAATAAGCACCAATTCGAATAAAATATTCAGATTCACTTCTTTCTGAGAATTAAAAATGGGCACGCATTAGAGAAATCGTCTAATGTTTTATCAATCAGACTTGTTCGAATTTTCGATTTGCAATGTTGTAGAATTAAAAGAAGATTAAAAGAAGATCATTTAATTTTAAGAAATTACTGGTATTTGCAGGTAATTTAACTTACTTATGCATTCAATTATTGTTTAATAAATACTTTGAAAGCAGCGAACGGTTTCATGGAACTCATAATATTCGTTAATTAAGGTATAATATTAGATATTCAAATATTATACAGTCGATTCAGCTTAATCGGGAATAGTACATTTTGTCCCGATTACAAAAATTACAGAATTATTGTTATTTAGTATTTTCTTTAATAAATTATATAAAATAAAACAAGTCACAAAGCTATGCGTAAGCATATATATGAAAAAAATGTATACGCACTACATTATAGAAAATGATATAAATTATGAAAGGAACATTGTATTATTTAAACTTAAAATGAAAATATGTATACTGGAAGAATTTATCCAAAGTGGTTTGCCTTGTATTTTTGCGAGGTTGTAGTTGTACAAAATCAGCGCAGATTGCTGACATAGGACTCCCGTCATGCGCATGCAATATTGTCAAATATAACTCCAAATTCTATATAAGTTTGAAACTAAAAACTTTAAACTCGCATACATTTTTAATCAAAGCTTTGGCAATTAAAGTTAGTGGACAAGGCGGTATATAGTGCAACTTACACCAAAATACAGGCGTCCCTGAATTTAAGCGGTTTTTTTTTATGCGTAAATTAGAAAATATAAATTAAATCATCCTTAAAATTTTACTTTAATAATGAAAATGAAGTACAACTTCTAAATATTTGAAGCGATGAAAAGATACTGAGTTTTTGACAATAAAGAAAAAAGATTGTTTATTTTATATAGCGATCGCGACTTCGTATAAAATTTACTCCTGTTTTCTGAAATGTTATATTTATTTCATAAATATATATTTCGAAAACTTGTAACTTTTATTTTCATTGCTTTTTTGTACTTACAGACTTTATTTACGCGATTTTCATTCGCAAAAAAAAAATCTTTGTGGAATCGCGTAAATTCAGGGACGATTGTATACAAAATCCATTGCATTGAGGACAGACAAGCACCGAAAGTAGTGTACCTTCCAGTACCTTCTGTTGTTAATTAATTCGTCACTAGACGAAAACCATTGGATCAACATTGGCAGCCAAGGAACCACTACCCAGGGGGGGATAGCATATTTCTCAAGAGAGTTGGCAGTACACGTCCGCAACAGTTAGGAGAGAAGAAGATTTCGTATGAAATCGGAAGCCAATCGGAACCAATCGGAACTTTTTCAAATATTTACTTTTGGTAATAAAACTTTATGACTATGTCGAATACAGCAAAAAATGGTCAAAACCAGTCAAAACGGTTTTGGTGTCCATTTTCGCAATTTTGTTCGAGTGTTTTCCATAGTATTCAGCAGTGTTCGATTGTTCGTTTGTTTTTTCCGAGAAGTATTAATCAAGTAAGTAATATTACTTCAACTATTCGCTTTAATTAATATAGAATTTACAACGAAAATCCGATAAGAAAAAGTTGGTTCGATCCTCAAAAACCCGAAAGGGGCCAAAGAGATTTATATCAATAATAATTTACATACATTTGTTTTAGGTCATTTTGTTCTCCAGTGTTCTATAGTTTGTTAGAAAACTTGTTTCATTCCAAGAATTGTAAGCAAGTAAGTAATTGTCCTTTAACTGTTTGCTTTAATTAACATACAATTTGTTTTAGGATGGTTCGAAAATGCTGTGTCCAAGGATGCAATACCAAAGAGGAATATGGTATTACAATGAGATGATTTCCAGCAGTTGATTCTCCATTGTTTGTTCAATGGAAAATGGCCACAAGGAATGCTTCTTTGATTAGCAAGAGCAACGAGTATATTAAAAGAATTGCGAGGATTTGTAATCTTCATTTTCCAGATAATAACAATAAAAGACCTAAGTTCTGTGCTTATGATATGCCACAGTTAACTGAAAATATTATGGAACATCCAGGCATGAATATTGATAATATTGATGAAAATCATATGGAAGATACAGTGCAAGAAGTGGTTGAAATTGATAATGTCAATACTAGAAAATGAAAAAGGATCACTAGACAATTAAAAAAATAGCAGGACCGTACTAGAAGAAAACAAACTTGAACTGCTAAATTTTTCATCAGGAATTTAAAGTTTTGAATAAATTAAGACTGGGTCTCCCTGCTACTACTACTACAACGAATTGATAATCCGCTCCATGCTAATGTTGTGGTATATAAATAAAATGAATATGTATATGAATATGTTTTTATTTACAAATACTACTATATATTAATTAACACCTTCAAAGATGCTCCACATTCAGGCAATACTCATATATGATCCATCCAATCTGAAGAAAAAACATTAATTAATACTGATTTAAATGTATAGATTAATTTATTACTTACCTCTCCAGTGTTGTCCGGATGCTTCCTCCTCATAGATGTTCATTTAGAAATTAATATTGTTGATGACAGTACTAGCGCAAGCGTTTAATTTTAGATTTTTTATGCGTTTTTGCATATTCTATTATAAATTGTCGTAAATCAATAGTTTCTGGATCCAAATCAGGATCGTTTCGAATTAGATTATGAAATGTCGTAAGTGTTAATTCAGATGGCAGCTTAAAAATTTTTGATAAAAGTGTATAGCATTTTTTACTTTGTTTGTAAATACCAAGCGCAAATGCCTTATCCTGGTATATATAGGATTCTTCCCTTTTTTTCTTCTCAGCGTTGAATACTTGACGTCTAAAAAAATTTTTAACATTCGTGTCCAATTTTTTAAATTTTTCAAATCTTCTACATTCTGTTACAAGCATTTTATTTTCATTTTTTAAAGAACAAATTTTTCTTTCCAATTGCTTTCTGCTTATTAATATTTCTTCTTTATTAATTGTTAAATCACCATTAAATTCATAATCACTTTCATCTTCTTCTTCTTCTGATTCCCATTCATCTCTATCTGTGTCGACAGCAACACTCATCTCTTCAGATTTGACTTTTACTGTTTCACAATGGGAGTCATCTAAATTATTAACACTGTTGTCAATAGCTCTATCACTGTTGTCAACAATACTCATCTCTCCAGATTCAACTTTTACTGTTCTACAATAGGAGTGATCTAAATAAATAAGATTTTTATCAACAGCTCTATCACTATCAACAATTCTTAATTCTTCAGACTTAACTTCATCTGTTTTAGAAAAGGAGTGATCTAAATTATGAGCATTGTCACCAAAAATCCTCTTCCTATCCTCATCATCAAGAATATTAATTCCAAAATCGAAAATATTTTCCGTCAACATAGGAAAATCATATTTAAAAAAGCAAGGCTTCCTTCTGTATTTTTCAGTGAAATGACGATTACAAACCCTCTTTATTTTCTGTATACGGTGATTATCCATCTTTTTCAATGAATCATTCATCGTAGCATTTTTCCATTGCTCGAACAATGGAGAATCAACCGGAGGAAATTTTCTCATTGGTATATCATCACCGCATCTAGTATAGCACCATTTGACGCAACAACGATAAACCATCCTAATATACAACGAATATTAATTCAATTGTACTTAGACACACATATGCATATAAAGAATAATTGTAGAAATGTTACTTACTTTCTTGTGTTCTTAAAACGGCGAAATACTAATGGACGAAATAACACTTGAACAAACTTGAATTTACATAAAAGTTTTATTACCACAAAGCAAACATTTGAAAGATTTCCGAATTCAACCAATTTCGGATAAAAATATTCTTCCCTCCACAACCTAACCAAGCTCATACCAACTGTTTTGTCATAAGAATGAAATATCACCTGACGGTTCCGTGCGTGTTTTATCGCTGTTCTGGGACAAAACAAAACATGACAAAAAAAGAACAGTCACTTCCTCCAGGAAGAACCTCTTTCATTTAGCGTCCTGTCGACGCATTACGCCAATTGACGCTAATCGCAATCAGTAATATGTAATGATGATTATAAAAAATATATTGGGCGACAGTGGCGCCACATGTAATTCTGCCATTGCAAGTAACTAATTTGGCGCTGTCAACACAGAACACATGTGGTCAATAAGCATACAGTATTTGACATTCAGATTTTCGACTTTTTAAAATAATAACCTAAAAATGCCTGTCTCGCAAGTAAGTATTTACCAAATTCTTTAAAGGTCTATACAAAACTCCTTACTAATCTATAATAAAACAATTCCAGTTAGCTGATGTCGGTGATAACAATGAAGAGTGCAAAACATTTGTCTTCGAACAGGAAGGACACACTTTAGGGAATGCCTTGAGGTGTATTATATCAAATTAGTAAGTTATTTTCAATATATTTGTTAAGTTTTGATTTAATTTGTTATCTATTCTTTTAGCAAAGATGTTGAGTTCTGTGGATACACTGTGCCACATCCATCAGAAGACAAGATGCATTTCAGAATACAAATGTGCAAAGGTGGAACTGCAATAGATGCCCTGAAGAGAGGATTGAAAGATTTAATATTGGTCTGTGAGCATACAGAAAAACAATTTGATGAAGAATTTTTATCATTTTCTGCAAAGAATGGATTAAACTTGTGAATGTACACATTGGAATTTTATTTTACTAATTATTAATACCTTTAATATTGTTTTTGTTTTCAATTAGCTTAAATTAGTGGTACATTTACATATTACAAATTGTCAGGTTTGTAATATGTTTATTTATAAAAATGTCTAAAGTCAATCAAAAATAATAAGTATAAGTAATTATTATTTAAAACGTAATTTTATTTTTGAAGAAAAGCAATAGTTTATATATCTAAATAAATAAAAAAAATATTTTCAAAAATATCGCGCCGTTTTCGTTTTTGACATTTTACCAATTTGACATATGTCACTTTGACAATTCATTTGTTATTGTTCCAATTATTTTAATTTATTCGTTTGGCTGCTGACTAACTTTAATAATCAAAATGACTGAGTCGTCTAGGAAGTGGCTGAAGAAAGTTATTATCACTGCTGATGTATATGCTATATGTTTGCAACATGTCCTTTCGACTGAGAAGGAAGAGGTGATGGGAATTCTGCTTGGTAATGTAAGTCTCACTTTCTAACCTATAAATATTGCAAAGATTACCTTTCTTTTAATATAATTTGTATTTGTAGGTGGATGAAGTTAACAGGATATCACACATCTCTGCTTGCACAATTTTGAGTAGACTTGATAAACAGCCGGACAGAGTGGAAATATCACCAGAGCAATTGTTCAATGCCTCCATGTACGCAGAGACATTAACAAAACGTTTAGGCAGGCAATTAAGAGTCATTGGTTGGTACCATTCACATCCTCACATTACAGTATGGCCTAGTCATGTTGGTAAGTAAGATTAGACTTAATTGTAGTACTACTATTAATTTATATGAGAAATGTTTTAAAAATGTTACTTAATATAACTGTCTTACAATTTACTTTTTTAAAATACACATATATTCATTTTAAATTCAGTTCAGATATTCTTAAAGTAATTGTAGATGTAAAAATTATATATTTTACAATTGATGATTGAAACAGTATTGTTTTTTTGGATTTTGAGGGCCTCCGGCATTCGCCCGGTTAAAAATTATACGTTAGTACATTTGTATAATAATAGTTAAAAATTATTTAGATCAGCGGTTTCCAAAGGGAGGCGCGAAAATTTTACTAGAAATATTATTTAAAAAAAAATGTGTAATGTATGCTGGTCATTGATGTAATCATGAAACATTTTCATCTCATACAATGATTTTTAGCATTCTAATGAATTTAAGGGTTTTCTTCTATACTAAAATATTTAATTTATAAGTGAACAAGAAAAGAAAATATATACAACCAAATTGAACTATTAACATAACAAATTGAAGTATTTCATTCGAAATTATTATTAAACGTTTAAAAAAACTTCAAAAACGAATGTTGATAATTTTAGTAATTAAATTAAAAATACAATACAAAATATTAATTGATGATTTCTGTAATATTTATTATATAGACTTGTAGAAACTCAATTTCAATATATCTTCAATTTTAATTATCAAAAGTAGATAATGAAGTATATTTAAAATATTATTGGTGAATCTGTTATAATTTATCAAGTTATATAGAAAGGGTTGGCAAATGCGGCTCTTCCTTGAGTTAATTTCGGCTCCCAATAAAAAATTAAATACTATGATGTGGCTCTTTAATACAGTGGAACCTCGCTTAACGAGCAAAATGAATTGTAAGAAAAATTTATTGCTTTTTCGCATAACGAGTGACAATGAGAAGTGCCGGATTGCGCGTATGCTACATCAATTTTAAAACTTGTGTACACATATTATGTGTATATGTTTCACTATACTAGTAAAAATCCAGAAATTTTGGAACATATTAAACTCGTTAAGGTTCCACTGTATATTAAACTGGCTCTATAATATATGAAAAAATCGGAGTGTATAAACTAGTAAGCACATATTTTGAATCTACTTTTGATAAAATCTACATGATTATTAAATATTCAACTAAGAGACAAACAGGATTCATAACGTATTTGATTGATAAAAAACAAAATCAGGTACGTTAACTATTATCCTTTTAAGATCTGCGAACGCAAGCTCTATATGAAATGATGGATAATTACTTCGTGGGAATTATCTTCTCGGTGTATCCGAAGAACACGGGTTCAAGTGACAATCAGATCCAGATGATTGCGTTCCAGTCGCAGACCAATCGAGATGATCTTAATCCTAAGATAGAGATCGACAACTCGAGGTTGGAAAGCCACAATTTAGAAGGTAAGATCAAACCGATTTCCAAAGAACAGACTTTCCAAGGATGCGTTCGTGTTTCAGCTTTAACCACATTACCAAAGATGCTGGTGCAGGAGGAAGTCCAGCAGCACCAGGACAAGGATCAAGAATGTCCGGACCTGCTGATCAAACTGCATAACGACGCTCTAAAGACGTTGAAGCACGTGCACATTGTCAGCAAAATAACGAGACCTATGTGCGACGATTTGGAGGAAAGGTTGAACGTGACCAACCTGCGGATCGAAGAGCTGAGAAGGATCAAGAAAAATCTCCAGAGCAAGAAGTAAAACGGCCAGTGAGTATATTTAATTTATATTATTATTTTTTCCCCCTCTTTATTATGTTTTTGGTACCTTTCGTATCCATCCGAATCCATCCATAATTACACATAATTTAATTTGTACAAGAAGATGGGGCGAAAGGAAATTGAACTAATTTATTATTTAATCTTTTAGCTAACATAATAATAACGAGGACATGGCGATTGTAATTAAAAAAAAAACAACAAAACGTGACAGAAGTGATAGTGACTTGATTTATACATAAATAATTATAATAAAAAGAATACTATTGTTTATTATTATTATATAATTGGGTGTTTTTTTCTTTCCGATGCGTTTTTTTGTTGAATTTGTATTTATTATTTATAATTAGTTTAATGGAAATGCTTTTTGTTTCATTTTTCCTTATATTTTTTTTTCATTTCTGTTTGGTTTCACTATCAATTAGCACCTCCGACCACTTTGCCGGTGTCCTCGTGTCCCTGATATTTCGGTTTTCCGTGGGTAAATGGCAAGTAGCGATGCTTGATCATATGCCGGATTTGCCTCTTCATCGTGATACACAGCAACGTGAAGAAATACATGACCAGGATTGGCCAAAATACTGGTACGTTGAAGCAATCGAACATGGTGCAGATGATTGCGACCAACGTGCTCTTCGTCACTGAGTACCAGAATTTGAACTCGGGCAACCTTCTGATGAAAGGTCTAAACTCTTCGTTAGCTCTGGTCGGTAGTTCTGGACCTTCGTCTGAAAACATCTTTAAGTTATCACCCCTGCCCAATCACAAGAATCAATCAAATTACCATCAAAGTCCATAGACGGGTCGATTTTTGGCGTTAAGAAGGCTATGAACAAATTCAGATGGTAAATTCCAAGAGCGTAGGTCACTATGTACCATCCCTAAACAGATATAAGACAGGTTAAATACATTCATAGAATGTAACCAGACACGTCCAATGTTGATTCGAATGCACTGGATATTATCGCATGAGGTGCTTAAACCATGGTAAACCCGATATTAACCTCAACTTTTGTTTTACCATAGTTTAACCAGCGGTGTACAAACTTTATTTATAGCATGCGACTCTCATATCGTATTTTCTTGTAACCCACGAATGTACGTGCACTTAACTATATTTGCGCACAACCGGAACCAGTAATCCGCATTGAACGTGTCGTAATGATATGATTTTACAAAAAAAAAACATCCACGAATGAATGAGTTTTTTTTTCATTTCAATTATTAACAAAGAAGTGGTGGATGATTTTTTTTTAAATATTGAATAGAAAATAAAGAGAAATGCAATCTAGGTTAGATCGCATATATGATATGGGTATACCTGCGTCAAAAGCACGCGGGCCATGAAACCGACGAGGAGGAGCACTCCAAAGATCCACCTCCACGTACGATACGGCACCGTTCTGTCCACCACTTCTTGGTAAAACTACAAACAAAAAGAGAAAAAAACGCAAAAGAAATACCCATCGGCTGTGTACCTGTTTGGTGACGATTCGCACGCCGAAGAACACCAGAAGACCCAAGGCCGTGCCCCAGCGGCCCTTCATGTATGGCGTCCAACTATCCAAATAACCCTGATATATCTTCACCCACGATAACAACAACAATAACAAATTGTTGACGAAAACAAAAGAACAAGTAACACATATGTTTTAATTATTAGGTATTCGGACTCGCTTACGATTAGCTTTGCAGCTGTTATGTACATGCAGACGTAACCCGAATTAAACGATTGTAATATCTTCACGACTTCAATATGTTTTATATTTTTAAATAAATTTTCATAAATTAAATAGGAAAATATAGGGCGGTCGACTAACGCCCTTTATACATTTGTGTTTCAGAATTGTCTTCAATGGGTGTGACTGTCTAGTAAAAGCGTGGCACTTTGGCAGTTGTAACAATCAGATATTATTGTAATACTAGTAATAATAAAATATAAAGTGGTTAAAATTGAATCTTTTATACATGCACAAATGACGTTCTCAAGAGGTCACAGCAAATAAATTGCATAAATAGATATACAGACTGCATTCACTTAAATTACTTTACTATGCTAACCGGATGTACGTTATTGATGATTTGTATACACGTCTTTTCGTTTGCACATAGTGCGGATTCGATTAAACCGGATCACTATAGTCCGGTTTAAAAATTTCGAAACAATCTAAATGTAAATTGTGAAAAATAAATTATGTTATATTCCCCCATTTGTCCGGTTTCAAACAGCGAATTGACGAAACCGATTAACCGCACTATGTAATGTATTACTATACTTAGATTTCAAATGAACTATATATTTATTTTTTTAGTGAAGAAAAATAGCAACATCAAATAACTCAAATATACAATAGGGAACAATGTACGTTCGTATGGATGTTTTTATATTAGAGAACAGAAAAGTAATCATGTACGTATTATCGAACTTACTCTATTTATATGAATTTTAAGTGAATTTTGACTTTGCAATAGAACCCACTGCTTTTTCGTAGTATTTATAGAAACGATTTAATTATATTTCAAGAATAACATCCTTTTGGTGCAAGTAAACTATGTAATGTTGAAGAATATGAGTATTAATTGAAAAATATTAATAAAAGGCTATGGAAATTTGAAAATATTGCGCATTTTATTTGTTTACCATTGTAGTTTATATATCAAATTGAACGCTCTTATGTAACGCGTCATTTTTGAGACTTAAATCCTTGCTACTAATGTTAAATAGCCTTAACAAGCCTGATTACTTTATCAAAGTGCACTGAGAACAAATAAAACTTGTTATTTACAAAAAATTAAAACCTTAAATCAATTTCAAATGTGTGTCTAAAGTTTCACTAGTAAAATACCAAAATGTATAGAGCTAATCTAAAATTAACGATAAAAAATATGTTAAAAACTTGTTAATATATTTCACAACTAAATTAAGTAAAACTAGTTTCTATCACACACAAAATGTCAATGATACTAATGTTGTTGTAATTACTTTATCAGACGATTTTTTCAAATGGTACAGTAATTAACACAAATAGTGACAATATCTTATATTATTATTCCAATACTCAAGTTTGCTTTTCAAATAAATTGTATTAACATTTATATAATTTCTTGTTCTTCTATACTGTAAATATTATTCAAAACGTTATTATTAAATAAAATAATATTCGTTTAACCAGGTTTCACTGTATATTTAAATTATAATTTAACGAGTTATCTCATAATTTCACTTTTCAAATAATATAGATATTTTACATTTATATAACGTGTATAATTATGTTAAAATTGTAATTTAATGGCTTTCTTCATTTAATTATTTAAAATAAAACTGGTTCCATACTTTATTTTTCTCCAATTATTGATTTACTAATACAACAAGGAGAACATACTTTTATGATATACATTTACAAAGAGAAATATATGAAATAATATTATTGTTTTTAAGGGTGTGTCATAAAATGGGGTACAGTGACCTCAAATTAGTATAAAAAGAACCTAAATATTATCTGATGTTTGCTTATTTACTTCATTCATTTTGTATATTCATGTTATCTGTGGTGTGTTCACATTTTAAGATTAAATTAGTTAATTTGAAAACACTTGTTATAAAAATCTTTTTGTAAAATCATAATTTTGGAATGTTGATCTAATTGGAATAAGTGTTAAGATCTATTTCTTATATCGATCTATTTGAAAGGGAATTGAATCGTGGTTGGATTCAATGAATTGCACATGTATTAACCTATTTAATTGTTTACTGCCTTGATTATGGTTATTTATTCTCATTGAATTATGTAATATCCGACTCAAGACTACTAGAAGATGAGCCACTCTGCACTTGAATATATCAGAAAATTATTTACCTGTGAGAGTCTAGTCCATCCTTGTGATATAACCCCCTTCTTGGATGTGTTTGATGTTAACGTCTCCTCCTCCATTGTGTGTGTGTATTTATGAGAGAAATATTGGACTTATAACTGAAAAAAACGTAATTAAAACGTGAATAACAAACGAATGGCGGATATCCTTCGATTCGCGCCGCTTCTTAGTTACTACTTACAGGAAAAATGTACAAGTAAAACTAGGTATAAGGTGCTAGCTTCTAAATATTTGGTAAATAAACAGTATCCATCAACAAATTCGCATTTTTGCTTAGACATCCACGTCAAATGATCGAAAACCAGATGACAGCTACTTCTGACTTGTCCTACTTTGACATAGTTACAAAAAATACCACACCTCTGACAGGAGTCAAAGTCATTCAACCCATTCAACTTTAACGCTTAAAATACACCAAGTACTATAAATAGTTAAAGTTTAATCTTTGCAGTAATATTCATAATTTAATTTTAAAGTTGTGTTTTATTAAAACTTCAATCCAAGTTAATCCAGTTGACATATATTTTTTGTTGGCAGAACTGGTTGTCATTATATTTTTGTTGTTGTGTCAAGTTGTGTAAAATCTGCGTCAAGGATTTTATTTAGCTTTTACGTAGAAAACAACAGCGAAAACAAACAGAGAATGGACGCGTATGAGAGTGTTCTTCTGGTGAAACCCGAGGTTTTCGTATTTAATCTTCCACCTAGGTCATCGAATCGTAGCTACAGGTCGGTATTCCCATCAGAAGTTTTCCAATTTGAATAAATTATCAGGCATAGATATAATAGGAAATCCACCCACTTTTCAGAGCCGCCGATTGGAATCTGGCGGAGCCTGCCTGGACCGGCCGTATGCGGTTGGTTGCCAAAGGCAATGAGGTCGCGATTAAGCTGGAGGATAAATCCTCCGGTGAACTTTACGCTAAATGCCCAATCGAATCGTATCCTGGAGTGGCTGTGGAGGCGGTCAGCGATTCATCTAGGTACTTTGTGTTAAGGATACAGGATGATAATGGTGAGCGAATGATGATGTACATTTCTTGTTATTCAATGGCTCTGTTTTAAAGGTCGGACTGCATTCATTGGTTTGGGCTTTGGTGATAGGTCTGATTCATTCGATTTGAATGTGGCCTTGCAGGATCACTTCAAATGGTTGAAGAAAGAGAAACAGATCAGTGAGGAGCCAAGTGGCCCTGCCCTAGATTTAGGTTTTAAAGAGGGCGAGACGATCAAAATCAATATGAAAATCATGGTATGTCCTGTTTTTTTGAGATGAAATGCTGTTTTTAGCTGTGGCCTTTGTTTTTTTCCTGTTGCGCATCAGAAAAAGGATGGTTCAGAGGTGTCAAAATCTAGATCAAGGCCAGGCGCTGGCCTTGGCTTACTGCCGCCTCCTCCTGGAGGATCTAGCAGGTTGCCTGCGCCTCCTGGCAGCTCACCTGCAGGATCTCCGGCTCACGCTGCAGCTAAACCGGATGTTGGCGGCGAGTCTTGGGGAGAGTTCACTTCAGCTCAAAGCAGGTTAGTAGAAAACTATCATATTTTACTAAACTCTTAAAATGCAATTTATAATTTTCCTATTGAAAATCCTGCATTTAATTCAAATGTGTTCAATGCATAATAATGTAAACACTTTTATAGAGGTCATATGTATATAGATTATTAAATAATTAAATTGGAATGCAAATTTATGAATCAACAAAACACAAATATATCAAAGTGCAAAAATTATAGCAAAATCAATATATGGAATTTTCATTTGATTTCATTACTAGTTAGATTTTTGTCATTGTTTAGTAACTTTTATTAATATATTGAAACATTTAATATTTTGCTAATCATTGAATTGCATTCATTTCTTGCAAGTAATCAATTTATCTATACAAATGCACATGGTAACAATTGTATATATATGTATATATGCATTAAATAAAGTAAAAACTTTATTCATTGCTTCTTTATTGTCTTTATGTATAGACTAATAATTTGATATTTGCCAAATTTAAATATTTGAGAGTACATATTTCTATTATATTTTGTATCCATAATTTCGTTAGTTTCTTTATTATCAAATTTCTATCTATCTCTCTTTTTAATTGTTACATTGACATTAAAACATATTCTCACGACCGGTTATTTTTTTGTTATTGTATACAGCTGCTATATTTAGAATGTCTAGCAGTAGCATAACATGAGAATTCCAAGACTTATGAATAAATAATTTACTCTTCTGTATCATTTTTGATTGTCTGAATGTAAAAAAAATCATTCCAAAGTTGATGTTAGATAAATAAGCAGTATTTAAATATTTTATTTGTACATAGCGTTTCTCAAACTTTTTGTTGTGTGTCCAATTTTTTTTATTACATACAATTTGATGCTTTGAGGCTGTAAGTTCACGATCCATTAAAAAAATAACACTACCTAGTATAACTGTAATATTTGCTTATTGTATTAAATACATTCCGCTAAGTAGTTAAACATTTTTAAGTAAGGTAATACAAATTTTTAGTTCTAAATTGTATTTGATTTTGTTGGTCATATTTGAATTGTTTTTCTAATATATAATTTGGATTTTATGAAATATTATAGAAAAGGGCGAAAAAGCTGCGGGCAAATTAATATTTATGTTTTGAACAAATTTAATCATATCTGGATTCTATAAGAAAAAAAAAGTATCTACTTATCCAAAGGAAACCTAAAAATGAACGTTGTTGTGAACATATGTATGCTGTGTTCAACAAAGCTTATCGCAATCTACCGACACTGAAATTATGTTTATATGAAGAAGTTAGTCAGAATTTAAAATGCTGTGTCTTGCAATAATAAACAGTAGTTTTTACAATGTCTGCAAATGAATAATATCTATTAGTGGACAACAAGTTTAAGTTTTTATCCTTATAATTGAATAAATAATCAAAATAAACTTAAACTTTATATGTATTGCCATTATCATAAATGACCGAGTTTGAAATACATTTGAACTAATATTTTATTCTTATAAAATATTACGTTTTTGCAAATACTGTGACAATGTCTTTTTTACACATTGTTATCGATACTAATTAAAAAAAAGTACGTTCATATGGATATATGTAAGTTAGTTTGGTCAGTGAAATAACTATTTAGAAAATACCGATCGTGCGTTAAATATTTGCACATTCTTATGTAACAAAAAATAACCAATTTAGTTGTTCATAAGATTTACTTTACAAAGTGATTGCGATCTATCTGAAAACGTATTAATATTTCACACATTGATACAAAAAAAATCGCTCTGCGATTTGGTCACCCCTGGTATATAATAATTAATTTATCACTTTACGAATTACCGTCTTAAGAACGAATTGGATTGATTGAATTGTGTATAAATACATATTGCTTTTTTTGTTTATAGGTAAATGAAATTTAGGATAATTGTGTTTATATAATTTATTCTTTTTATTCAAGTGCTGCACCCGCGCAACAACAGGCTTCGCCATCCGCCTCCAATAACTGGGTACAATTTTAAAACCGTTTTGAACGAACAGGAAAGAGAATGATAAACGTATTATTAATGGTTAAATATTTTTCTTTTCTATCTTACTGTTGTATATTTCTATATGTCTATTTAATGGAGTTTAGAGTATAATATATCTTAGATATGTGAATCATTATATAAGTGAAATGACGAGACAGCGGGAGGAAGGGCGTACGTTCCAAGCTGAACTCGTCGAAAAATAACGTTTTTGTGAATTATCTAATACATATATGTACAGGACGTGTGTGCGCCATACATATATGTATATAATAACTGTTATCGTAAATGTAAGATATTTTTAAGTTTTTGCATGACAGAAACAGAATCCTTTGCTCATTGTTACTCGATGTAAAATAATCTTTTTGTTTTCTTTTTCTTAACTGTGTTATTAGAGGATTATTATTATTTTGTTCAGTTTTGTTTCACTATTCGCATCATTCGTTATCTGTGTCATTTCGAAGTTTTCGAAAGAAATAAAATTTAAAGATAAAAGTAACGATATATACGCGAGGATGGGAGAACTTATTCTACATGTGTATGTATTCCGCTTCTTATACATATTATTAATATTATAAAATAATATTATTTTCTCCGACAAACATTCCAAGTGCAAAACTATTTGTTATATTATATAGTTTATTATACTAGTTTAGGCCTAAATATATAAATATTAATAAATTATATTTGAATTATTACTATTTCCTTCTTTCCTCTTCGACTCCCATTTACTTGACAATTTTAAGGTTTGTATTACAACAGGAAATTTGTATATATAGTATTAAGAATTGTTTACTAATTTGGTAAATAAGTAACATACATATACAAATAATTATACTTGTAAAGATATTAATTAGATTTACACAATTGTTAGTGCAAAATTAACTAATTCATTCAACAATTTCCTATACGGAGTTATTACATTTAACACTGATTGTTTAACAAAAATGATTTTTCCTAAATCAGGATAATTTTCACTAATACCTTTTTTTGAAACTTATTGATTGAGATATCTTGATAATTTAATTTCTAATTTATTAGATGTTAGTTTCTTCTTTTAGTACATTTGGGGATATTTTTCATTTAAGAATTTCTTTAAGTTTGTTATATCGAAGTTTCGTATACATAAAATAAAGAAATTTAGATCAGCAAACTATCAGGATACACTGTTCGATAAACTTACATTTGTTTAGCTTGTACGTGTTATATAAAGATAGTCGAATCTGTTCCTATTTTATCTTATAGCAAATAAATGCATGTATCTACTTTCTTTTGTACAGTCAGGTTTTTTTTTTCTTACGAACGGACAGTCTCGACATTCACACGTACCCTTTGCAGTCGGACTGGAATCAGTAGACAACGAAACGAAACTTTCGTGAGATACAGCTGCCGTTAATGTGCGATTTGATGAATTATGCCGAGATATGATTGTTACGATTATTATTACTCTGCAATTTTGTAATAAAAATTCGGGGAAAATAATAATTTTTTGCCGCATTGAAAATTATTAGAAATGTGAGACAAACTTTACAAAAACATGGAACTGTGCAGCAGACCGGGAAGATAGTGTGGATATCATCGATGGTTTAGCTGGAGCAAATTTCATGGTAATTCACCTGTTAATATTCCATCTACTGAAAGTATGCTAAAATACGGTTCGAGGTGAAAAAAGAAAATATGTTACAGTCTAATATAGGACTTTGTATAAAGAACTGCTACAAAATTCGTCGCACAATTTTTTTTTCGCATTTATACAGCAAGTTTTCTGAATATATTTCAGTAGTTAGAGGGTTAATGTATTATTTGAAAGAGTTTTATTAATTAATTCACAGGAAGCTTCAATTTCAGTTAATTCATTCTGCTTCACCACAGCTCCACCCAGCTCAATGTAAGACATCAGTCAAAAAATTTTGTAGGATTGCATTGATATTAATGCTGCCATTATTTTCTTGCAGTCTAGAAAGTGTTTTTTTCCTTTCTTTATTATTACGCTTTTCCTCAACAATTGTTTTTAATTTTATAAGATCAATGACAATATTAATTGTACTAGCTTTTGTAGTTACTATAGTCAAGAAATATGTTTTACCTAATAACTGGGACAAACTGACCGGGACGGATTGATTAGTGTGTGAGAACATGAGTGAAACGTTTTAAAACTATAAAATTTAGAAAGTTTATCTAATTAATGTCATCTCTGATAAAATATTTTTTTTAGTTTTCGTATATTGTAAGAAAGGATAGGTTAAATAAAATGAATCAACATTAAAATATAAATAAACGCAGTAATCACGTTTACCATTTAATCAACAACAAATCGGCGATCAAATTATATATCAAATATATTTTTAATAATACATAAATAGATATAATACAAAATATTGATAATATTTATAATATTTACAATTTCATTCCTATAATGATAATAATTATAATATTTATATAACTTTAATATTGAAGCGAACTCTTAATAAAAAAACAGAAGTACATTTCCACATACAAATATGTAAATTTATTTATTCATTTTTTTATAATAAAAAAACGGTCTCTTTGCTGCGGCAAAGTGTACGCTTTTTCGTTTTCCAGAGTTCCCTGCTTACAAGCACCAAGAAATAACTATCTCAGATATTTCTTATTTAGACTTAAGATAGTTTTCGGAGAAGGCCAGCAGACGGTACCTCTGTTTCAAGTTTCGAGCCCTCACGTGCGGGTTCGCAACCTCAACCGTGTAGTTGGCAGGAAACCAACCTGTCTCCCCGTCTCGTATTCTCTCTCCGTGATACCAACCTATAAAGCAGAAGATTATACATTTTTCAGGTGATTTTAAGATTTGCGCTTACCATCTGCCATCTTCCTGGTAACGTTTATGATATCGCCTCTAGATAAGGCCAATTCGTCAGGTTGATTCGCTGTGTAATTGTGGACAGCAGTCACCTGAGGACAATCCCAACATTCATACAAGGTTTCATCTGGATTCTCGGATTTCGGTGGGGACAGCGCTTCTAGCCACCGCTCCTTATCAGTCTCACTGCTGCATGACAATAACTGAAAGACACAATAGTTTTATTTCAGTTTATTATGTAATATTTGGTTATTCGATGCTCACCAGTTCAACGGTTTTTCCTTCGTGATTTTCCAGGATGGTTAAGAAAATCAAGTGCCTTCCTTGAGCATCTTTGATTGGAAGACAGGCCAAAGTTTCGCCGTTGATCTCAAGGTAACTTCTATAGCAGTAGTGTTGGACAACGTAATTATCCTCACTGAATAAAAAATAGTTAATTAATCGTTTGCTACAATTACTATTAAAATTTAAATCCTTACCCCTTTAATTTAGCGACGATTAGAATGTCGTTGAACAGGAATAAGTATAGCGGTACTTTGACGAAACGCTTCCCGAACGTGAGCTTTACATCTTCACCTCTATTCTGCATATGATTGAGCAATCCTGAACGCACCAACCACCTTGATCCTGTAACCACCGTGAGCGGAGTTATACTTTTGGGGAAGTCTAATTGCTCGGCGATCCTTTTCATCTCCGTCATCCTCTCCATTTTCCTAGCGCCTTCATTGCACTGACATACAATCTAAAACGTAAACATTCATAGATACTCCTCATTTCATGTGCTTTTCTTAAACATACTTTGTTCAGAAGGGCCAGTGCATGTTGGCAGGATAAGTACTCCTCGTCCTGCGGTGAGAGCCTCTTCAGGACGGCATCCATTAGCAGTGGCCATCGCGTGATTCTTTGCATTGGTAACATCAGGAATGAGTGTAAGGTGAGTAGTTGACAGGCTGAGCTCGACTCTAGTTGTTTCAAGAAGTCAGTGAAAGTCGTGCGATCCCTGGAAACAAACAAAAACATTGATACATCTCGGCATAATTTGCGATCTAATGAAATCGATCATTAATAATCGCTCAAAATTAATTAATAATTGCTTTCGAAAAAAAATGCGATAATTTCATTATTTAATGAGGCGGATTCAGGAAATTGGCTTTAATTTAGTAATTAATTTGGAGCTTCGTTTCCTATATGCGAATAATAATAACTTTAATTATTGTAATTTATGATACTAATTATAATAACACGTTGAGTGTTACAACCGAATTTGTAAAATATTGCATTGTACACATTAATTATTTTTTCCTTGAAATTACATTTTTTTTGACGTGTAGTTTTGGTTTAAAAAGATTTAAGACAATGATTAAAATAATAGTATGAAATAATTCAGATAGTTCTTTAAATTTTGATTATGTTCTGATAAAAAAGTAGAAATTAATGAAATATATGCAAATTGCAGTTCTTTTTAAAATAATAAATGCTAATTCGTTGTAATAATAATAATAATCCCTCAGAAGCACTTGTTATTTTTCAGTATTTTCAATTTTTACTATAACTATAAATTAATTTTAATGTAACACTTACTTGAGTTTCTTTAGGCTTTGGTCCAAGAGTATTTGGTTGGCGCAGTAGTCGACGTAGACTTCGAAGTTCTCTTCCGCGTGTTTCTTAATGATGTCGCACACGCCGTGCAGCAGAATGTTATCCTGCCAGCAAGTTTCTAAATCTCCCAGCAACTTTTCCGAGCACTCCTTCACCGGCACCACTTTACTGAAGAGGATGGTCTTCTCCTCGTATGTCAAGAACTCGCAGCTGCTCAATCTCCGCACAAAGTGCTCGGAGAGGACGTTCAGCGAATTCAGGTATGAAGCTTCCGACGTAAGCATCTCGAACTTTGCTTCCTGTAATTTCTTCTGAGCCACGCTCAGCGTGCTCAGAACGGCCGACTGGACGACCTCAGGTATTTCGCACCAAAGCGTCCTCGCCACAGAAACATTGCTGTTCGGTGGCGCGATCAGCTCCATAGCAGTGGGCCGCAACCTGATTTCCAAATGCTTCTTACCGCCCACCTCTTCATAATCTGAATCGGATGATCCATCTTGACATACGGACTGAAAGTAAAATGGTTATTAGTAATTTGATAATGTAGTTGATGATGTCGGTATTACCTCCATGACGGCCGCATCGTAGAATTGGTAAAGCGGCTCATCCTGCAACCTAAGCTGAAGTTCACCGGAGAGGCTATTGAAGGCCTCATCCTTCTTCGTGTCCGAACTCTCGAAACTGGTAATACTGCTGTTGTAGTAGTCGTTTTCGTTCCTCAGATTGTAATATTCGTCGTCGTTCTTGTTCTCGCCGGAGCTGGTGCTTGGGCTGCTGGCGGTGCTTGACTGATAGAGGCCGACCTCCGCATACCAGAAGGTGTTGGGTCTTTTCGGTAATTGGAGACCCTGCTGCGAGTTCTTGAAGAGGCCGCACTCCGCGTACCAAGAGCTCGAACGCTTGGTATCTTTATTTCTCATCTCTGAAAGAGGAACGTATTAATATATCTGATTGTTATGTGATATAATTGACGTTGTTTACCGATATTTGGTGATTTCGTTGGAGCTGGTGGTGGTGGGATTTGCGGTCGGACGGGACTAGTTTTCGGTTTTACAGTCGTGTTGTTTGGCGGAACGGGGGGCGGCACTTCCGGCACTTCCTTCCGGTCCAAGTCTATGGTATCAGTCAGGTAGAACGTGCTCTTAGGTTTGCTGCCGTCTTCGTTCAACGTGTTCTCCGCGTTCTCTCCACTTATGGACATGCTGCGTCTGAATTTGTTCAGGAAACCCTTGCGTCCTAAACTCTTAGTCCGCTCCAGTTGCTCCTGGCTCTGTGAGAATCCGACGTTCGAATACGGCTTGACGTCCTGATAAGTGTTCATCTCTTGCTCTCGTTCTTTTACCTTATCTAAATTAGTCAATCAAGTTATGAGAATTATTTATCTGTTATATGCTAGTAATGGTTGATTACTCCACAAATTTTAAGATGACGTTTAATGCACAAATAAGTGTACAAAAATTGTACAAAGTTTCCTTAAGTATGCAGTGAGTTAAGAAAGGTTGAAAAACGTATGTTTTAGAGTAAAAAAAATACAAAACTTTAAAGCATAATAACTTACCAATGGCATCGAGGTCCGTGCGCGATTTCCTCTTTGTCATTCTACTCAAAGATTTGGTTATATCATTTTTGGTGAGGGACCAGTTCCGTCGCAGCCTCTTCATGTGTTTTCCTGCGGAGACGGCGAGCCTTGTAAACACGTATATTTGATTGCTGGGCGGTTCCGGAAGCTGGGTGTTTCCCATATCGACTCCACTGTCGGTCTAATTTAAAAACAAATATAACATTTATGAAACATTATGTTTATTTCACCATAACATTCTTTTAAATATGACGTAAATGACACAGCATATGAAAAATTGTGATGAAAAGTAGATGACTACAAAGTAAAGTAAGTGTAAACTACCAATTTATTGATGACTGACGCATAGTTAAGTAGTTTTCAGTGTAAAACACACATTTGCTTTTACTCTACTTCAATGATCAAGAATCTGTTCTACAATCAATGTAGAATATGAATCATTCATTCTATGTGTTGTACCTCCTACTAGACATTATTTTCATTTGGCCATTCATTCAAGTGCTATTCGCAAATAAATTCCTTAACTTTCAAAAGACCATCCCAATACTTTAGCAATCTTTATATTATTATAATTAATGTATATTTTCAAAACAATACATTAAAAACGAAAAATATGCTTGAACTCAAAACTTGCCGGATATCATATTATTGATAACAATTGACAATCAAGCTTAATAATTAAATGTAAACTTCATAGTTAATTGTAATATAAATGCAATTTAATAAAATATTAAATCAAAAATGAAATTGTAATTTAATGATAATTTAAGTCATTTACAGTGTGAAATTAATTTATCAAAAGTTCAAAGTATTCGATTAATCTCTCAATAAATGTGAAAATTATATTTTTCATATATTTGATATTGATATTCAAACTAAATGGAATTTATGTTAAAATGTTCAGTAGATTTTAGATAAATTATTAAAGCTTCAACATAATGTGTCTTTACTTTTGTATTGAGAATCATAGAAATATTCTATGGATCGATAATAATAAACAAAATTTATTGTATAGCAACATTCAAACGATTATTGACCGTAATGTCTATGGAACAAATAAGTTTATAATTTAGTTAAGTGGTTATTACAATATCGTGTCTTTAATAAGAAATAAATTGACAATGTTAGAATGAAGAAGTGAAAGTTAAATAAGATTGTAGATTTTAAAATTTATTCACGTTTACTTACTAACAGTAATAAAAATGATAAACAAAAGCAATTTCTTAGTTATAATATTTTTATTGTTGTACTTATTATAGAAAGTGAGTTGTGAAGATAATGTGTAGTTTTTTTTATCATAATCGCTTCGATGCTTATAAATCAGATATGTTTGGCTACTGACATTTTTGACTGTTCGCAGGTATGAAAAGATTGAAGAACGCTGATTTAAACAATATGTGTTAAATATTTGGGTGTTATTCTGTTGCACTTTGAACTTATTTCTTATAGACATTTTAAATTTTGATAAACATAATTTATTGTCTATTCACCGATTATGATTAATTAGATAATCAATTGTTAATTTACATTCAGCGTTAATTAATTTTAAAAGAAACGCCTCAATTTGACTGAAAGGGCGACTAATAGCCGAATGGTTAAGTCGCCGGATCGAATCCTGGTCAAGCCAGACCCTTTGTAAGCCCTCTCGGTGCTTGTAGCTATAGAGCCATCGTTCATCAAAGATGAATGAGTTATGGATAGCAGCAAATTCACAGTGAAAGGAAATAGTGGAATCGCAGAGCATCAATATACTACTGAGGTTAACTTACAAGAAGACAGCCAACCAACAAATTAAAAAAATCAAATCATTATAATGGTAACTATCCACCGGGAAAGATTATTCATTTAATGTCAACCATCATCCATTTAATGTTTACTCAATGTTCACATTGATGAAGAGATTGTGAATAAAATTATACGACTTAAAAAAAATATTGACTCAAAACAGAAGTCTTCTTGTACGTTATTTACGTATGACAGGATCGAAAATAAACAATAATATGTGAGTATTATTGAATGAAAAAAGGATGTACTTTGATAGCAATAACAAAATGTAATAGTTCCATCATGTTTGTTGCAGTATATTGATTATTATAGAAACATTTATAATTTATAAATTAAATATTAGTATTGAAGATTATTAAGATAAAAAATGTGAAATATTTCTTTACTTCAGATATTTCTGTCATCTATGTACAATGAATTATAATAATTCTTTATTTTAAACAAATTGTATTAATCTTTGGATATATTTACCTTTGCGAATGAATGATCCGATTCGCTATCGCTGTCGAACGAATCAAAATCATCGTCGTTGATTGGTTGCACCTTATTCGATTCAATTTGGCCGACGTACAGTGTCTCGTAGTGATGGTCCGAATCGCTATCACCTGAAAATGAAAATAAACATGAATAAAAATAAAATCATAGTTTATAAAAAAAAAGGCCTCCAATTATTAGTACACTGGGGGCTAATTAGTTTAGCGGGGCGTTTCGAATTGCGAAATTCGAACCATGTAAATGCAATTAAGTTATTTAGAGAATAGCACAACCGTTTCAACCTTCGGTCTGCAAGGAAATCGGGCGGCCATGAATTCAAATACAGCTAAACAACAAACAAAAAATAGTATACAGAACACGTAAAACGGAATACGGTAATAATATGTGAATATTCATGTGAATTAATTAGAAGGATCTCCGGTGTTCGGTTAATGAGATTTTTAAGCTCAAAATTAATATCCGGCTCTCCAGTTTCTAGTTCAGGGGTATCAAAATGCTTGACGTATTTTGCAATGTTTTCTTATAAGTTAGCACTTCTCATCACAATTTGGTAATACACTCTCTCGGACAAAACGAGATTATTTTAGTGATTAAATAATAAAAAGTAACTTTAGAAAAGAAAAAAAATGTAAATAAAAACTTTTTTGTTAACACAATTCTGGTTGTATCGTGACCATAGATGCAATAGATACAATAGTATCTATATTTTGATATATTATATTTTGATTGTATAAAATTTGATTTTATTACTTGGTAAACTTTAAACTACTATTTACTAACCCACTTATTATTATTATAATAAAAATATTGTTTCAAATAAAATAGATATTTCACTTTATTTATTATAACAGTTTTGGGGGTCGATTACAAATATTAATTATTATATTCTAATGTTTTTGAATATTGTTTCAATGAATTTAATACTACCTAGTGGCATAATATCCAAAATTACATAACACAGTTTTGTATTGTTCAGAATTGCTATTATTTGGTTGTTTATAATTGAAGTCTGATCAATAAATATTATTATTATATTAATAAATGTAAAATTAAAAAAAAAACTTTCACTAATGTTTATGCATTTAAAACAGGTTTTTTTTCGAAATTAGATGGTCGACGATCAAAAAAGTTTGCCGACCCCTGGTGACTAAGCATGTCAAACTCGCGGGTCCACAACAATTATTTTAGCGTTTCAGCCAATATAACGCTATGTAAGAAACATTCTAAAAAAAAAATCGTAACTTCATTTTTACAATACATGTTTCATTTTGAACATAAAACTTTGAAGTTTTTCTACACATACCCATTATGTGTAGAAAAACATCCCGGATTGATCTGTCATCAATTTTTCTACGACCCCCCTAATATTTTTCGCGATCCCCACTCGGAGAATCTCTTGTCTACCTAAGTTTGTTATAACAATTAAAATAAGGTACTTGGTATTCGAATAATTTGGTTTCGGACAGTTTTTATGAATGAATTGTGTAATGAAAATTAACTCTAATGCATATATTTGTTATTGAAATAATAATGCATTATATAATTAAATATAAGTTTAATTCAAGGATATAAATATCATACCAAAAACATCAAAATATGTATTATACTCTTTAGTTAGTTATGATATTGCATCGTGTTATTTTGTTGTTTCACTTTCGAAGATTTTTCCCATTGTTTGGATCCGTTTACGTTCTCACCGATTAGAAACAATTGATTACCATGATGTATATTTACAGGAAATTCTTTTGTTTATACATTTTTCTTTTCTATTCGGTTATTATTCTTCATTTGCTTTTTAAGACGTATATTATATCTAGAAGTATGTGTTAATTAACTTGTAGCATTAACATAAACCATTTACCAAAAATCATCGTTTATGTATGATGTTAAAATAACAATAAATATTTACAGACAATAAAAGTATACAATAAAAACGCGAATTTAAAACCAAATTAGAGTATAGATATTGTTCCAACCATATAATTTGCTTTTAACTAAATTACTAAGTAAATTAAATAGAAACACACTGAAATAGAAAACATTAATCCACGTATAATTTTTAAATTACCATTTTGGGATTTACAGATCCAATGATTCATCTCAAATAAAGTTATTTTGTTTTTTCTGGTTAATCAAAATCTATACTAAATCAACGTCAATTAATGGATAATACTTTTCTTTTTTGTTTAAATATTTCCAGTTTAACATAAACTTTAGTTTATAAAATTAAAGGTTGCATATATTTTTTTGAATAAGTATTTCTTGAGATAATCATTTTGAAGTAGAGTAAGACAAATAACACTTTAATTAATTATAAAAACTATATACCAAAGAATAACATTTAAATCTGTTTGCTAAATATAATAGTGTCAAATACTTTAAAATGCCTGTTTTTTTGTTTTGCATTGTCAAGCAGTTTAAAGTAATTTTTAAAATCTCACTTATTATTAAAGATTTTTTCATATTATATAATATATATACATACGTTATTTAAATACTTAAGTAATTTAAGTAGACTTCTATAGTAGTTTTTCTAGTACATTTTTTTTATAGATCATGCATATAAATGTACTATTTTAGTACGCAACTATCTTTTATAACTTATTTTCATAAGAATATCAAAATTTAGAATTGTATGCAGAAATTCTCAACTGAATGAACACACTTTTTTGACAAATATTAAATAAATATTTTATTGTTTACTTAAGTCATTTTCTTTTTGCGTTCGTGTTAACAACAATACCGATGCTGGTTTGTTGTCCATTTCTATAAACTTATTTAGCATGTTTCTTATGTTATGCAACCAAATATAATGTTTAACAGATTCTAACTGAGATATAGGAACATTTATTTTTAGATTTGTGATCTCTATGACTGTTCAAAAAGATTAAATTAATTGGACTAAATACATTACAACTTTGTTAATATGTGTATATATTACATATAAGCAGTGATCCTATTCGAAAGTTAGTTCGGAAACTGAAATTATGTAAAAAAAAAACGAGAAACTGCGAAGTTCGAGAGCTGAAGATATTCCACAGTATTGAAATAATTATTGTGAAAGTACTAAAAATATAGAATTTGTTATTACCATCTATTTAAGATGCAACTAGTAATCACTAGTGAAAGGAAAATAATATGCTAGATAATAAACTTAATAAATATAGTTTAATAATATTACTAATTATATCATTCAAAATGAGAGTATATATAAGTTTAACAGATACTTAGAAAATTGTTTCACTTTTATGGAGTTTTCTTCTCATTCATGTATAAAACTATAGAAATCAACAATATTTCACACGTGGATTTTTATAAATATATTAAATAAGTGCAGACTTTCCATTTTGTTGTTACTATGTTATTTTTTTAAATTTTGATAAAAATAAAACATGACCATAAAAAATACTATTAGTAAATACAATAGTAATTCAAACCATGTTTTGAAGATTGTTGCACAAAAATTGTAGGGTTGCGTTTCTTATTTTTTGTTGCTCTAATTTCATGCATTTCGTCAGTATTACTTTTTTTTGCAAGTTGTCTACACCTGCAGTTAACAGTTGAAATATTAAATCAAAATTACGCAAACGACGAATTTCGCATCGTGACATAATAATCCCTTCCCCCGCTAGCATAATGCCACGGTTGTCAATTCGAATTCGATGCTTCGGAAATTCTAGGCGGCAAAAATGTACGCAATATCAGCAGAACTCCATCGTTTCCGAATCTCCGATTGTTTTGTAATTGTGGTAAAAACTTTAGAAAGCGAATTCGTCGATCCCTCTTCCTCGTTTTGTTCTTTTTTTTTTCTTTACTTCTTCCATGCATACTTACATTCCTATAAACATGCACGTACAGTTGGTTTTTCTTTCCTCCAATTTTAGTATGCGACACATCCAGTGCGCTTTTTTTCTGAGCAATCCAAGCGTTGACAATTTCCGTTTCGAGGAGAAATTTTTTTTGCGCTCGTCCTTTCGATACAGAAACACAATAATAATTAATTATAATAACAGCGTTAATCGAACACAACAATAACTCGCGTTTGGGATGTGTTAATTAGTCCGGTTCGTGGGCTTCCTGCAAGACTTTCTTTTTCTGCTCGTTGCACTTCTCAGATCTGGACTTCGTGATTACGCTTCGCGCTGTGTGTGCACACATACACAGCGTGAAGTTTTCCAAATGTCAAAAATGCTAATTCGCAATTGCTATGCGATAATAGCTTTCAATTAATTCGCTCGTGTTCGTCTCTTATTTATAGAACCGTGACATAACACCTCTATATGATATTATTCAGTTATTCGCAACTTTATTTTTTTCGTTGTAATTAATTATCGTTTAAAATCTTCTTAGTTTGTTGAAAGCAATGTTTTCTAAGAGCATCGTTGCATTACAATAAGTGTCATATACGAAAATAAACTTTTTTTTACAAAGGACTGTTTTTCTTTGTATTTCTTTCTTAGTTTGTTAAAAAAACATTATTTTTTATGTAAGGTCATCATTGCATTAAATGAATTATTAGCAATTTGTTTTAATACTACATTGTGTCACATTTTTATTACACATTTCTACATGTTTGTTTGGAATTAATAATCCTCAATAATTGACAATTTAAGAATATGATTATTATTTGTGTTTTTTTTTTCATATTTTAAGTAAAAAATGTTATTTTGTTATTATAAATCAAAGAAAATATCTAGTGTTAATTTTACATTTATACAACATGTCCTAATTGTAATTAATTATTATTTACATACTTTTGTTTTATTAAAATTTCATGAATTATTAGAAATTGTTAAATATTGCAAATGTTCACTTGTAAATAATAATTATCAAAGTTCTATTGATTATAAAAATAACGTGCTTAGTGCTTTTCAATTCTCATTATATTTCACTTCAAAAATTCATTTAAATTTTCTTAGTATGTTAAAAAATTTTTTAGGAATTATTAGTAATTTCTGTTAATATTTCTGAATTGATTGTTTTGAAGAGAATTTAGGTCCCAAAAGAAACATTCTGCCAACCAAGTATTTGATATTTACGATGGGTTTCGGTTTCCGAACAACATTTATGAACGAATGTTGATCTATGATTGAGGTTACACTGTATTTGA